TTCAGGGCAAGAATGGAAAGACAATATAAGATTGGTGCGTATCGCGTTAATTCCATCAATTGAATGAGATGGTGTTTTTTATGGATGATGGTTTCTGATGTGAAACCGTGAAATTCACTTTCATTAGTCAACCCGCAGGCTACACAACAAGAGATTGAGGCAGCATTGGATAATGATGAAGGCGGTCAAGTTTTTGCTCAATCGGTAAGTTCTACGTTCTGATTGATGTACATTTGGCGATGTCTTTTTTTTTTTCGTCCTGGCTATTCATCCAATTCACCTAATCTTTTCAGTTGATGACATCAACACGTTATGGTGCAGCAAGGGATGCGTTGCGAGAAGTGCAGGAGCGTCACGATGATATCAAGAAGATAGAAAGAACGATTGAAGTAAATTTTTGATTTTTGATTTTAATTTCATGAGCATTCTTATTTAGTTTAACTGTCATAATATATATATATATATGTATACTCTTTTTTTTTTTTTTTTTTTTTTTCAATAGGAACTTGCAAATCTTTTCCAAGAGATGCAGCTGTTGGTGGAAGCTCAGGATGTGCCAATTACTGCCATCGAAGAGCATACAGAGCAGGTCACTCATGATGTGGAACAAGCTGCTGTACATGTAGAAAAAGCATTGGAGAGTGCGAGAGGAGCCAGAAGAGTAAGATTCGGATTTCTACTTTCGCAAGAAGATTTTGCTGTTCATTTATTAAATAAATTATTATTATTATTATTTTTTATAGAAAAAGTGGTACTGTTTTATGATACTTGTTATTATTTTGATTGTTGCTGGTGTAGGACTATATATATACTTGAAGCCCAAGTCGTCGGACACTTCTCCGCCACCAACGCAAACTACCACGGCACCTGGACCTGTAACGACAAAAGCATAAGGCCTCACGAACAAAAAAAATAGAATGTATTTTCTTTTTTCGGAAAAAAAAAAAAAAGTGATGTGGGACATAATTCTTTTATATCATACGAAGAATGTGTTATCACATGGACAATATCGCCTTTAAAAGTTGTTTGTAAATAAAAGGTGTCGCGGTGGCAACTAAATCAGTGATGGACGTATAGGAGAACAAATCAATCATTTACACATACCGTTTTTCGTGATAGTTTGTAGTATTTTAAAAATCCCTCGATGTTAATTCTTCCTAACTTTTACAATAATAGACTTCTCTTAATAATCCAAAAGAAAAATTTTCCACAAAAAAAAAAACATGATACGCAGTTTTTTTTTTTATTAACTCTTTCTTGATCTTGTAACATTTTTGAGAAAAATTTGTCAATCGTGTCAGAACATTGTAAAAATTTTGACGTATTATTATATTGTATTAGAGTTATTTCCTCGATCATCGGTCTCTAGATCTCATCCATTCATTTTTCTTTCTTATTTAATATCAAGCCTAGATTACTTTGTGCTAACTTTATAATAATAATTAATACATTTGGTCTATTACAAGAATAAATATGATTCAAATCATAACTTGTTTTTTTTTAGTTGAGCAATTTCGTCATCCTTCTTATCGAGGGTATTCAACAGGTGTTTAATTCGAAACTTTAGCTTTGCATTTTCATTTTGTAAAGTTTCAATTTGATTTTTGTCTTGAGTCGAATTTACGAGTTCTCCCGACGAAAACTCTTGTTGTTGAACTGTTTTTTTTTTTTTTTTCACAAGATCATTACAACGTATGCATTTAAAACTCAAGGAGATGCTTTCAAAAATTACCAGAGAGGATTTCTCGTAGTTCATTCAATTGCGTTTGTAAGCCTTTTATCGTGATTTCAATCGGAGTGTGGGTGGTGGTATCGTGCTCGGACATTGTCGAAACAGTTTTCAAAAAAGACGTGACTTCACGATTTAGCGATTTATACGCGATGATTGGCTGAACAAATGTGCGACACATAAATTTTCGCGTTCCTCGCATTAATCCTTCAATCATGGAAAGAAACTTTGATAGAGAGCTTCGAGAAATTCCAAAGATTCAGGCAGACGAGAAGGAAGACATACTTCTTGTTCAGAATAGGATTCAGGAGGCTGCGTTAGAAAAGATACAAAAGCATCTTGGAGGTGACACGGATCCTCAATTTCGCGAGGTCGTCACAAACCTTGTTGAAAAGGCAAGTTACCGATGATTGTCAATAAGGATGCGTTCAGTCGCTCATTAATTTATCTTCAAAAGTGGGTCAACGACACTTTCGAATTGGCAGCCCCAAATTTACAAGTAAACGGTATCGACTATAATATCGCTCTCAAGGAAAAGAATGGTAGAGTTTCTTTACTTGTTTCTTTTGGAATTTTCCGTCAAGGTCTAATGTTTCAAATGTTTCAACAAACAAATATACAAGACATGGAACCATTTAACGAAGAATTGTGCCTTAGAGTACACGATGTTCGTGCACAAATTGAGGAGGCGACAGTAAAATTAACACAACGACGTAAAACTTTGCCCGACAAGGTGAAAGATGTCATCCGAGAGTTAATGACGAAACAGGCAATTTCGATTGATAATGTGAACTTTGTGGACAAGAAAAGCGTTGATGAGATGGAGGTCGAGGAATCATCGGATGGTAAATTCGGTTAACGTTTTTTCTCATATGTCTTTCTCCTTTATACACTGATCACTTCCGATCATCAGACACGCGGGTCATCGAACAGACGAGTCAAACATTTGATCAAAGTCTTTCGATTTTAGAAGATCTGAAAAAGGTAAAGGATTTGCGATTGCACAGTCAACAAACGTGTGAATATTTTTTGCGTCTCATAAGACGGTTGGTAATTCTTCCTTGCATATAAAAATTTCAGTCAGTTTCTGGTAACCTGTCAAGGTTGGAACGCGCTCAAACTGTCATAATGGACATTAACCAATACAATTCTTAAAACGAATAAAAAAATTAAATAACACCACCGTACATGAGGTGCATTTAATGTACCAAGGTTTATTCAATTGAATTGCGTCACTTTGACGTTAGCGGATTCTCCAAGGTAAACCTGATTTCTACCAAAAGATTTCGACTATTCTTGACACTCACGCCAACATTATGCTGTATAAACCAAAAGCATATGTATAATGTTCGTCAAGAATCTATCATCAATGTGGGGCTTGCAGTAGTTTCTGAAGACTTCCATCCGATTTTTTGGCCAAGAGATCATCACACCCTATTGAAAATCATTATCAGAGTTGATAGATAAAAGCCTCGGCGGAAGAAAAAAAATAATAATAATTTTTTTTACCTCCGATGTGAACGTTCCTGATGAAAATGTTTGGTACGGTCTTTTGGTTAGTCTTTTGGAAGAGATATTCTTGAATCTCAGTCCCATCATCTATGATGACAAAAATAGAAAAATGATTAGCCAGATGATAAAGTATTTCAGAGGTCGGATGTGTGAGGATTACCTCTTTCGTTCAGCTCTATAGCTTTGAATTTTTGACCGAGCTCTTCCAAAGTTTTTTTTGCCCTCTTACAATAGGGACAATAACTTTTACTGAAAACCATAATGAAGTTTTCCGAAATGAGTTTCTGCGCAAAGCGTTGTGCCGCCATCAGGTTGAATCGTTCGTTTGTTTGTTCGTTCGTTATTATGCGAATAAAATTTATGTGAATGGATGGTCAAGAGGGTTCGATCAGATGATCATTCAATAACGAGTTTCCGAAAGAAATGCGCCCATTTTTCCTGTGTAATTGGGTAAATACCTCAACTAGGTTTTGAACTTCCATGGTCGTCTTTGATTCAGGTGAATTGAGGTAAAAGAAAGATGAAATCTGAGAGTTGATAGAACTGAATATTTATTCATTCGAGTAACCGTTAATTCTGCTTACAAATCATGATTTTTACGAAATACTGACACTTATCAGTATTAGTATGATTAGATAAACTAATAATTTCACTTTTTTCATTTGTATTTGAATCGTGAAATATCAATCCATTATATAAGGCTGTATGGATGACATCCGTTTTTATGCGTCAACCCATCAACAATAACGTCGATCTTGGAATGCGGTGATCTGTTTCAATGCGGCCATATGTGAGACGCTTGTCCCATTTTATTGTAATGTGGTGAGGAAATGTAAATGTGCATGACATGATAAATTATTTGTATGATCATCATCATACAAGGGTGATGGATGCTGGACACATTACATCACGAAATTTGAAAAAAATGCATTCAAAAAAGGACCGTCATTTGCAAAAAAAAAATCAGAGGTTACGTTTTTCTGATGTGGGCTTTTTCTTCTCCAATCTTGAACTAATGAGAAAAATCCTATTCACGGAAAAAAAAAAAAAAAAAATCGAATCCAAAAAGCTTTATCATCAAATTACTATAGGAATCTGAAAAAAGTAATGTGACAGACAATAAATGATTGTTTGAAAAACGGTATTAATAATTTATATAAAAGGAGAAATAGTATTATTAAGGAATTTTGATGTCATCGCATATCAATTATGCAAATCGCGAGTGCTCTTCTTGCTTATTGTAATTCTGTCGCTTTTCAGAAAGAGATGCTTTGCCACAAATCATGGACACATGGACAATTCTAATGGATTTTATTTTTTCCACAATTAAAATCTCCGAAATCGTGTTACTTCATACTCACATTTACGCCAATATCGATATCGATATGTGCCACTCAATGAACTATTATTATAGGCCAATCAAATTCACCCTCATAACTTCTCCTATCTACCAATTTTTGAACTTCATCCGTTCAATTCTTCAAGCCCAATTTTTGCAAACAAATTTTTTTTTTTCTCCAAGAAAACTTTCCGCCAGCAAAACCTCTACCAACGGCATAGAATTCTCTGTCTTCTGTTTCCTTAACTTCTCTTCGTTTAAGTTATTTACCACAGCTTTATATGTCCTCGATCCAAAACCTTAACGTTTTTGGTATGCTTTTTTTTTTACCTTTCTCCTTTTTTTTTTTCCTTTGTGCACTCTCAGCTCACATTCAATGGTAAGCTCTAAATCGTTTTTCAATTCATTCGAACAGACCCTTTCGGTGAAGAAGAAGCAGGACAACCCCAAGGGTATATTCGTATCCTTCGTGCACTTACTCTTGATGTTTGCCCGTTATTTTATCTTTTTCTATTTAAAACTCATCCCCTTCGGATGATGAGGCTTGCGACCGAGGTTAAATTTTAACGTTCGCACACTAAATATGAAAGCTTTGTTGACGACTTTGTCCTTGACTCAAGGCTTTGCACGAATCTTTTCTTTTCCGCAGATATTCGTATCCAACAAAGAAACGGTAGAAAGACCTTGACCACCGTTCAGGGTCTTCCAAGTGATTATGATCAAAAGAAATTGTTAAAGGCCTTTAAAAAGGTTGGTTGGATTTTTTTTTAATGATTTCCTTGCATTTCTTGGCAAAATTTGTGGCAGGAATGAATAGGTGTTTCAACACAACTTCAGGAATTCGCTTGTAATGGTACACTCGTACAAGATGAGGAACTCGGACAAGTAATCCAACTTCAAGGAGATCAACGTCTCAAGGTCCAAAATTTCCTCTCGGAGGAAGGGATCGATAAAAAGATCATTAAGATCCACGGTTTCTAGTCGTCGAGACAACCGGAAACTGTAATCGCTCCGCGAAAGCAATGTTCTTTCGTTGAAGTTACGAAATAAAAATTTTCAAGATTTTTATTGTATTCTCATTCTTAACATCATTTTAGCGGTAAACTAAAAAAGCTATTTGTAGAGATATCGTTTGTATTTCACAAAAATAAAATATAATGAAAATCTCGAGTGATATGTAATTTAATTCATATGTATTTGTATGAACGGCGTGTAAACAATACAATAGTAATAATTAAATATTATTTTTACTGATTGTTATTTTTAATAATAGTAATTATTTTATCTTACCTGATTATTAATGATTTAATATTCTTTATAATGTCCCGGTTTCGTATCTTTGAGCAAGGTAAAGTATCGTGAAGCACGAGAGATCAAAAAAAACTTATAAGATTCATTATGCAAGGATTAGCTCAGAGAAACAGAAAGAAGACCTTGATAGGCAAGTACCTCGGGCAGAAATAACCAGACCACGAACTCATCAGAAACATTGGTCAGGTTTCAACTGGAAACAAGTACTTCACATCCATTATGGAACAATCGTATCGAGGAGATGTCGAAAAGGTTGTGGTTACCAGGATGGATCGGCTCTGCAGATTTGCGTACGGGGAGGGTCAGGTTTTGGCTACTTTAACCTATATAGGATACGGTATACATAATAAAAACTAGCTTCATTTATTCAATTTCAAAGCAAATGTGTAGCATACTATACTATATATGTACTGTATATGGATAGTTGTTTTTTTTGATAATACAGTACATATAATATAATTTTGTAATACTAACAATTTCATGTATAAAAACTTTTTTTCAAATAAATCTCTTTTAATGATTACCATGAAAACCCATCATTTTTTACTAATCAATTCAAAAATTATTTCTGCTCAAAATAATTCTATCATTTTATTTTTAATTTAATTTGTTCATAATAAAATTTTTTAATTATATTACAATTCAAAGATATTTCTTAATCTTTAATCTAAACACAATAATACTATACAATACAAATATTATACTATAGTTAAATATTTTACTAATTGCAATATACACAATACTTATTAAAAAGAATATAGATTTGTATATAATTTTTGAATTCTTAATATCAAGATTATTATATTATTATATTACTTGTATAATTTAGTTATTTAATAACTATCTTACTACAAATAAATTGACTTATTAAATTATTATTACATAATATTAATTATTTAAAAATTTTCAACTTCTTTCAACTTTTTAAATACCATATAAATTATAAACAATAAATAAATAAATTTTTTTTAAAAAAAATAATATATAATAAAAATATTTTTATATTTAATTTAAAACCTTATAATCAACCTATATTTAAAAATCATTATTTTAATACAATATAACTTGTAAATCTAAAAAATAAAAAATAAAAAAAATTTGTTTTTTTTTTATTTATTAAAATTGCTATAACAATAATTAGTATTTATAGCATTTAATATTTTTTTTTTTATAATCAAATAAGTATATATTAAGTTTATTTAATCTTAATATAAAATATATAATAGTTAAATTACTTTTATATATAAATTTTAAATTTTATACTTGAATTTTTATTTTTAATAAAATTATCTTTAAATAGATATAATTTTGAAAATAAATAAAATTACTTATTTTTGGATACTTATTTAAAAGTAAGTAATAAAATTATTGCTTGCAATTTATTACTATAATTTATTTTGACAAAATTTTAATTATAATTATATTTCTAATTATTTTTATTTTTTTAATTTTGATTTATAATATTTCTTTAAGCTTATTTATAATTTTGTTTTTTTTTTTATTTATATTTTGAAAATTTCAATTTTTTTTTTTTTATAATTTATCAATTTTTTTTTAATTAAAATTTATATATTTTTAACTAAGTATTTGACTTTTTTTTTGCCTCTTTCTCTTTTTTTTTTTTCTAAATTAACACAATAATAATTATTTGTTTTTTTTAACTTTTTCACATTTTGAAATTCTATAAATATTGTTTTAAAACTTGTATTATATTTTAAATATTTTAAATAATAGTTTATAAGTTAAAATATAAGAATTTTATATTAATATTTTATATTAAAAGATATTATAAACAAGATATTATTTATAATTAATAAAGAAAATTTTATTAAATTAGAAAAAAATCAAATAATTTTATTATTTTTCAAAGAAAAAAAATCTTATATATATATATATATATATATATATTTTCAATATAAATAACAAAATAAAAATATATAACTAAATATATAGTAGTGGTTATAAAAATTTGATCCCTCTTTAAAAATTCAAATCTAAACCAATTATTTTAAAAATATTAGAATAAATAGTTTAGTATAATTTTAGATCCTTTAAAATTTTTCAGATTTTTGTAATTGCTAAAACAAAATTTAAATGAGAATCAAATTTTAGAGATTATTTTTTTTACAAATTTTTTCAATTTGAAAATTATTAAAAAATGATTCATATAAATTTTTTTTTTTAAAAAACAAATTATATAATGATATACAGTATAAGTCATAATTTTTTAGAATTTTTTTAATTTTATATTTTATCTTATAATTAAATAAAAAAATGATTAAAATTTTATAA